CTACATCCCTGGCCTCGAGGCTTTGTCTTTAAAACTTGTTTGAAATCTGTAAAACTTTGGAACACACATTCAACTTGCTCGGGTTAGTGTTTTCCCAGTTACAACTCTGATCCGCTCAAATAAACCCTTTTGTTTCTAAAATCAATTTGTGCCTCAGTTTCTCTTTAGGGTCAACAATTTTGTATAATGTAGAAGAGATTTCAACTTTGATGTTTTAAACTTTTCTTATAGTCCCCATAACACAGTCCCTCAAAAATGTTCCTTCCCCTCCAGGCACACCATAACGTTCAGGTTTCCGCCCATAAACACCAGGAATTCTTTGGTTAACAAATGTAGTATGTTCTATATACAAATTCTATTAGCTTAAGAATTAGGCCTGACGCAGGCATGGCAGCCCTGTAGTCCCAGCAGAGTGGGAAGCTGCGGCAGGAGGATCTCAAGTTGAAGCCTGGGCAACTAGGTAATTTAGTGAGACCCTGTCTCAAAGTAAAAATGGCTGGGAAAGTAGCTCAGCTCAAATACCCCGGGCTCAGCTCTCAGTACCGGGGGGAAAAAAAAAAAAAAGCCCTGAAATATGCATTGTGCACAAATAGATCAATGATTCTTCTTGTGCATGTCGAATTTTGGAAGCATAGCTCTCTCTTTTGCTTATAACCATGGTTCTCAAACACTGCCGCAAATTACAGCCATGCAGGGAGTTTCAGAGAAGGAACAATGGCTGAGCTTCAGCCTAGGATCAGAATCAGAATCTCAGGGCCGTAGGACCAGGACACTTGTGTTTTCATTTCTTTGTCACTCTGTATTTTGAGCTAATTATAGCTTTCACATGCCATTTGTGAGGAACAATACAGAGAGGTCCCATGCTCCCATCCCTGATGGTGACATCTTGCAGAAGCACAGCGCAACATCACAGTCGGGAAACTGACCTTGCTACCGTCCTCCTATGTTTTTAAACTACCTTGCTATTTGCACTCTCCTTTCTTTCTTTGCTGATACTTAGTTCTGCTAAAGAAGCTCATCTCTCCTTTAATGGACAGCTATTATTTTTAATTTTTAATTTTGCAAGAATGTAAAACCCGCAGAAAATATAACAGTATATCAGAAACCCTTCCGATGCTCCTCTGTGCCAGTGAGAACCGTGACTTCAGAAGCGGGCTGGTGAGTGTGGGAGGCACCCACTTCACCCCACTCACTTTAGGGTCCATCCAATGCAAAGAGAAATTCAGAAGGGCTTCCAGAAGAGGCCAGGGTGGCCGAGTGCTCCTGGCATCTCTTGCTTTCAGGGACCCACAGGACAACTAAACATAGAACTACCTCTGACTGGGAAAGGGACAGGACTGGGATATTCCAGGCCAACTCTCCCCTTCTGGATAATGACAGAGGCCATTTTTAATCCGGGTGACTATATAGCTTCCTATCACCATGGGACAGTGGGATTATGAAAGGCTCTTATTTCCTTTGTACGATTAGAATTTTTATGTTATCTGGAAAATAAGACATCTTAATAAAAAATGTACCTTTCCTTTCATGCCTGATGCTTACATGGAGCCACTGTCCTATAAAGGGAAATTATATCATCCGTCGCAGCACAAAGCCCTTGTACCACGGAAAGCAAACGTGACTAAATGCGGCACCCCGGTGGAACGCTCTGCAAAGAGGCACGGTTACGGTTTAGATCTAAAACATCCTCCCGAAGTCTCAAGTTCAGACGTCGGGCTTTTGGGAGGTCATGGATCACGGTGATGAACCCGCACTCACCAGTGGGTTCATGGGTGAGTTCACGGCTGACTGTGCTGTTAGGAAGCGGAACCCGAGGGGAAGCGGGGGTCACTGGGGGCGTGAGCAGGAAGAATGTGTTCTTGCCCCGGCTCCTCCCTTCTATCTCTGCTTCCTGGCTGCTATGGCATGTCAGGTTCATTTGCCATGCCGCTTCTGCCTTAGAGCTGGTCGACCATGGACTGCAACTTCTGAAACTGTAAGCCCAAATAAACCTTTCCTCCTTCAAGCTGCAGGTGTTGGGTACTGTGCCTCGGAAATGGGAAGGCTGTCTCATGCGGGGACATTTCCCCCAAGCTGTAAGGCTGCTCCAGGCATACGGTGACATCCTACCTGATGGGAGGAAAACCCCACATCCTCACAAGAGCTGTCAAACCCTACCCACTCTGCCTCACAGCTGTTCTCTGACCCTCCCCTCACTTCCCCTCCCCTCTCTCCTCAGGACCTCTGCCTTGCTGTGGCTGGGCCTCGGGTGCGCTGCTCCCCTGGCTCACTCCCTCACTCCTGGAGACAGCTCCTCAGACACCACCCCAACAAAAAGCAGTCCCTGTCCATCCGTCCTAAATATAACACAGCAGCTCCTGCCAGTCTCTCGGTCCCTTATTCCGCTCCACGTCTGCATCAACCTCTCACCTCCTGACATCTGATATGCTCGTTTATCATCAGCTGGTCCTGAGCGTGGGACTGCGGTGAGGATCGTGGCAACCTGGAGCACTCACACCTGTTTAAGCGGACAGCTCCGCAGCCCCAGTCATTGCTACCGTGCAGGAATGTGAACTCCAATCTTTCAATTTTTCCAGAGAGGCCACCATTCAGATCTTCCCACAGAATCTCCTGATCCTCAAGTGTCAGCTACTAATTCACAACTTCCCAAGGCACTGTGCAAGATAATGGGATGGGGCCAACAGAACATGTCCGCGGCGCGTGGCCGTGTGAACCCAGAGCCACTGAGACGCCGAAGTTCACGGTGATGCGTTCAGAGGCGCAAGGCCGCTGTGTCTGAGCGGTGAAGGTCAGGCGAGACAGCGTCCTTGGACACACGTTTCCTCCTGCTCCGTTTCCGGCTGCGCTTGCAAACTGCACGGGGCTGAGTATACCGAGCCAGGTGCCTTTTCTCCCTCTCCCCTGCTCTGATCACATCTCTTAATGCTTTTCCCTTCGCAGGAAACTGGCGCTGCCATTTCGCTCTCTGCTTTCACAGGAAAATAACTCCAAGGGGAAATTGACTGTGAAGCCTTAAGCAGTGCCCCCCTCAAGATGGGGAGAAAAAGGAAAGAGAGAAATACAATCGAGCGCTCACAGCAGAGGAAATTAAGCGCTGGCAGAGGAGCAGCAGCCGTGCCAGTCCAGAGCCTGCGTACCCAGGAATGCTAATGGCCTTAGAAGCTGGCGGGGGGCACTGCCTCGCTGGTGCAGGGAGCTGGGGTGACGGAGGGGGAAGGCCTATGTGTTTGTTTAATAAGAGGTACTGGACGCTGGACCAAAGGCAAATTACCATGGCCTCTGGCTTGGAGGGCACACATGGATTCCGAGGGGTGGGGGTCACTGGCTGAACTTGGCTAAAATCCAGCCTCCAGGCAAACTAAGAGAAACTGAGGACTTGTTTTTCACAGACCGATTCTGAGCAGGGGACTGTTTGATGGACTCAGAAGTCAGCTGGGTGTGTGGGGGTATGTTTTAAAGGAAATAAAGCTCACAGTTTTGTCCACTGTTTCATCCCAGTTTTACAGACTGGATGAGGAAACAAGGTCATAGATCGGGTCACTGAATAGAGAAGGAACTGTTTCCTCTTTTTCCTCCAGGAAGACAAACATTCCCAGCTAACACAACCAGGATGTGAACAAAATGATTGCTCGCTCCTTACCTGTCCCTCCTTTGTAAGCAAACAAGAAAACACAGGCACACACAGCAATCAGAGGCACGTTTCCTGGACAACATTTCCATCTCTGCTCTGAGTCATGTTCATTTCACAGAAGCACTTCTGGGTACACAGGCAACGTGCAGAAGCAAGATTCTGCCCTTGGAATATGCTGCCAGGGCCCACAGCTGAGCAAACGCTGCTCCGGCGAAAGGGGAAGGGTCCACTTAGCAACCTCTACCCGCCATCTCTGGGTAGCTCTGCTTATCCTTAGCTGTAAAGATGGTTTATTCACCCGCTTTGAAGCCAAAAGCATACTCTTGGAACAAACTCCAGCTACCCATCCCCACACCCGCACACTGGCCCGGCCTGCCATGTACCCCCAGGTCTCCTCCTCCTCCCCCAACCTCACGTCATCCCGGGTTCCCCTCACTCACCCCACGCCTGCACTATGTACCTTGGACAAGCTCAGCCTCAGAGCATCTGCACTGCTGTTCCCTCTACTTGGAATGCTTTTCCCCTCACTCCTCCTTCTCCACCAGGTTTCAAGGGAACTGTCACTGCTGAGAAGGGCCTCCCTCCCTTTCACCCCGCACATCTTCCTCTCCTGACTTCTCAGAACTGATCAATACCAAGAGAAACTATTTCTCCCCTCTTTCCCCCATTCCCTCTCTCCCCTCTGGAACGGAACTTGCTTAAAAATGTCCACCTCGTCGCTCTTGTTTCTGTCTGTATCTGGGGTGCTGAGGACAGAGTCTGAGGCTCAGAACTGGGTGCTTGACAAGCGCTGGCGGAGGGAAGATGGGGCAGTTCAAAGGGTTTCAGAAATGACGCAGCAACTGCAGGAAAGGACCAAATGCGCCCACCGTCAGCCGCACAAGTTGCACGGCCACGGGGCCTCGGTGTGGTCTCTGCTGCCCCGGTCAGAGGCAATGGGCCCAAGGTGAGACGGGCCAGGTGCACAGCGCCCACAGGCTGAGGGTCAGCCCACCAGCTGCCGCATCTTGCCCCCCGCCCTCTCCTCCAGTGTTTAGGACCCAGGGCAGACATCACTCCCGGGAAGCCTTCCTGCGCACGCTCCCTCTCCCCTTAGACACTTGCTACGGAGGGATCAGAGGCTGCTGACCCAGCTCAGACACCAGCCCTACTGACCCCTGCCATCAGGTGCCTCTGTACACCAACCTCTGGGCACCAGTGTCAGGTACCTGCTCTGTGTGTGCAGCACAGTGTGCGTGAGGGACGCAAGAGTGAAAGAAGCCGGGGGGTGAGGACGGACTATGCTCTTAGAAAGTGCCCCACGGCTACAGCAGCCCCAGCCCCGACGTCCTGCAGGAGCCTTAAGCACGAGGCCGAGGCTAGTCCCTACCTGTGCACGATCCCCAGAAGCATCCTCGGCCTTGACAGGCACATCCACACAGGGCTCAAAATCTTCTGAATAGTCCACAGGAGGTTCGATCTGCAGTCGAGAGCCGGCTTCTGTTCTGATCTGCACCGATTTCTATGCATAAAAATGCAGACCGTCTCAGACATGATGGAATGAACATCCTCCTCTGCTTGGGGGCGAGGGCTAGCACCGGAGGGGTTGATGGTAGGAATCGGAGTCCAAGGTGCTTTGCCTCTGTGTGACAGTGCTCGTGTTCTGATCAACACTGGTCTAGCACGTGCCTAGCCTGGGCCAGCTCAGGGCCGGTCATTCTCCACTCTGCTCAGAGGTTTTGTTTTTATGGTATGTTGCCGGAGACTGAACTCAGACCACCCACATGCTTGGCAAGCGGTCTTCTACTGAGCTACAACCCCATGCTTCCATGCTGTCTTTAAATTTTGAGACAGTCTCGCTAAGTTGCCCAGACTGGCCTCGAACTTGTGAGCCTCCTGCCTCAGCCTCTGGAGTCGCTGAGACTGCAGGCATGGGTCACTGAATTTGGCCGCTCGAAGGTTCCTACTTGAACTTTCCAAGGATGCCCAGTAGAATTTTTTTAAAATAACTTTTTGGCTTGAAATTATTTACTGGCAAAATTTTAGCAGCTGTTGAAGTCCCTTCTGAAAAGGGACTTCGAGCTGTAATTTGGTCCCTGCTTTGGGAAACCCTGTAATTTGGTTCCTGCTGAGGGAAACCCTGGGGCCCTCATATACACACCAGGGATGTCTGAAGATGTAATACAATCTTGGAGCACTTCCCAAGCTTACGGGCCTGCAGGAGGCTCCATGATGGGCCCTCCTCTGCCTAGCCTCCCTTGGATCGCTCTTAGGGGAGCACAGACTGCAGGCCATTCCCAGTCCATGACGTGCGGCTTCTCCTGTACTCGGTTTCTGGATATGCACGGGGCATGTCCCATCCCCCCCATCCCCCACAGTGGCGAGGACCACGTGAGCACACGGGGCCCTGAGATGAGGGTGGCAGGGCGGGGCTGTGCATCTTCCGCTGTCCCCTGACGGGGCAGGTGTCGGGCTCCTCTTGCCCAGCTCCCAACCCTGCCGCTGCAGCGTGGAGGTGCTTCGCGCTGCCCAGGTCTGTGCACACCACCGTTAGTGCCCGGCTCCCTCCGCAGCCCCCGGGCCAGAGCCGATGCTTCCCTCTCGGCAGGGATGGGTCACACACACAGGCCTCACGCTGCTCAAGCTACTGTTATTTGTATTCTGCAGCAGTAGCCAGAGCTGCGCCTGGTGCACAAAGTTCTCTACCATCAGTCAGACGCCCTGCCCCACACACAGTCACTCACCGACAGTCAGACAAACAGCCAGGGCAGGGGCCCGCGGGCTGCAGCTCTATCACATCCACGCTCCGCTCTTCACGACACACCTTGCTTATTTTTTTCGGGGACCCACTTCCCTCCCCACTCGCAGTCCGTGTGTGTGGTGCAGGGGTGGGAAGGTGAGCCAGGCCTGACCACCAGCCCATTCCCTCCCTCCATGGCACGCCCGGGCCTCTGATTCAGGGCAGGCGCTGTGCTACGGCAGCCGGGAGAAGGCCGGGATTCAGTCAGAGCCATGGGAAGGCAAGCCGCTTCCTGGAAGAGGCTCGGCTGCAGGGAGTGGCCGCGGGGACCACCCTGCTGCTCACACAGAAAGGCTGCTGAGAGGTAGAAGCACAGTCCTGATGGACTTGTTTCGAGCTCCTGGATCCAGCTGCACTTGAAGCAAGACCACTGAATCTCTTTTTGGCTCACGCCAGTGCGAACAGGATTTCCGTTATCTGTGAGCTAGTCTTGACCCCCACCTGTACCGTAAACCCTGCCATCTCCCCGCCTCTGCTCACACTGTCCTTCCGGTCTGTGCCACTGGCCCCAGTCTTCTTCAGGAACCCAAACCCTACCTCGCTTTGGAGACTGCTCTCTGCCCACCCCGATCTGTCCACTGCCTGACTGTGGTAAGACTGTCACGGCACTGGCGTCCCTTGCAGCGTGGCATGGCCATGTGCCCCAGGAGCTACAGTGTGCAGTAACGGGCGGGAGGGGGCGCTTCTGAGGAAAGTCCAGCTTTCCCAGCAGTCACAGCAGGCTCAGTGGACGCAGGACTTTTGCCCTTTGTCCCCCACACTTCCTTCTGGCTGGGATGTGCATGGGATACATGGGAGAAAAGACCATAGTGTAGTGGAAAATGGGAGAAGCCCAGTTTCTGGTGACATCGCCCACCTGCCCACAGGCAGCTGCCTCCCAGTGCTTCTTCTGAGAGAGCAGAGCAGCCATCGCTGTTGTCAAGCCACAGTGGTGCCGCTCCTGTGACACCCACCTGCCCTCTGGCCCAGCTAATACTCTCCTGTGATACTTGGCATTTCGGTATCTCCTCTGTGGGGAAGGCCTGGGTCGATCAGGCAGACTGGGTCGATCCCTGCAACGCGCATGCTTGCTCCCTGTGTGACCTCGGGCAGGTCACCCATCCTCTGCCACTCACGACACCCTCGTCCCAGTGGTGCCGGCTGAGCCCTGGGGCTTTGGCGCAAACCCGCAAGAGGCCTTTGGAAGTACTCCCACCAGGCGCCTTGCCTACCTCACCCTGGCCCTGCTGCGGGGACAGAGGAGGATGCAAAGTGTGTGCACTGACCCTGTGACCCATTGGAAGGAAGTGCAGGGTAGCTGGGATCCTGTGTTTCCCCAGTGACCTGGCATGAGGACTTTCTCCCGGATCCTGTGAGGACCTCCCCAGGGACTAGGAAATGCAACTATGACCTTCATGAAGAGGAACGCATGCCCTCAGGGCTCTCCACTGCTCGGGCCGGGGCCTCTTTGATATGAGCCCACACGCTGTGCACCTTGTCACTCCTCTCATGAGGATGCCAGGCCACTTAATGTGGACTGGGTGCCCTCCCAAGCACGGCAGGTGTGTCTGCTCACGACACTCTCCTGTAATTCCAGGGGGGCAGCTAAGGCACAAGGGTGTGGGTCCCTGCCCGAGGTCACACGGCTGGGAAGCCAGGGAGATGCCACGGCGGGTGACAGGGTGGCAGTGGGTGTGGCTGATGGCCACACTGGTACCCCAAGGGCACGGGCCGGGCGGGGTTGGGAGGTGGAGACTGAGTTCTGTCACAGGGCCTGAGCACCCGGGTGGAGCTGTGCCTGGATGGAAAAGCAAAGCAGGAGGAGACGACTCTGCCGGCGTCTGATGTAAACCCACAAGCATAAGCACGCCCCCCAGCGCCGATGCAGGAGAGCCCCCTCTGGCTTCTGCGGTCCTCATGACCTCCCCTGCCGGCAGCTCAGCACAAATGCAGCTTCGCTAAGCTCGCCAGGGTGCAAACACCGGTTTGCAGGCCGCCTAAGTCCCTGGGCAAAGCCTTCCCAAGCGCTGACCGCACAGGGCTCCGGGAAGCCAACGCCCTGCCCTCCAGGACCGCGCTGCACCCACAGTGGAAGACCCTGTTTATGCAGCAGCCTGTGACAAAATCACCGTGGTCCAGAAAGAGTTTCTCAAGCTGAGTGGGTGCCCAGGAGGGGAATAAATAGGCCCTCCATCTGGCCTGCTTTCCCGCCCCCGGCCCTAGGAGCTTCCCCTGCTCGCCGGGCCAGGCTGAGCGCAGCCCCGCCCCTGAGGCCGCCCCCGCCCCCAGCCCTGGAGCCTGAGCGCCGGCCTCCCACCTCCCCACCCATGCCTGGGCTGCTGACTGTGCTCTGGGAGGCTTACTTGCTTGGCATGTGGCTATGCCAGGAGTGGGTGTTCCCGAGTGAGTGGCTGCTTTTTCCTGCCTACGTGTATGCCCAGACCTGGGCAGACCTTTGCAGTGTACACACTGGAGGAGGATGTAGAAGCCCTGACACTGGAATCCCGCGTTCTCATTCGCTGGCCCAAAGCCAGATCATTTCTGAGCCCACACTGAGCCCAGCTCACGCCCGGAGTTATTTGTGTGTAGCCACCACACCCCTTCCTAAAGTGTTGCAAGAGGTGTGCATTAAAGCTCATTGTCGACTAAAAAAAGAGCAGGCGGGCCAGGGGCCGCCCTGTCTGGTTGTGCAGGTTGTGCAGTATGTCAATGGCTCCCTCTAGAGGCAGAACAGCTCTGCAGACACCCACAAAGGCGGGGGGTTGGGGGGTGGGGGATCGATCTCCTCTTCTGGGAGGAATCTATCTGTTCCTCCCAGATTTGCCTGATCTCTTACAAATAGCAGCGCGTGACGTGCTGACAGTCTGTGAAGTGCAAGGTCACTGGAAGGCTGATGCTTTCTGGGTGTTTCATTTACTGTCCTCGCTGCAGGGCTTTCAGAACCCAGAAAGAGGTGCGGAAGACAGGGGTCTCCAGGGTCACATTTTCTCCAGGGAGCTTTCCTAGAGGTGCCAGCCGCCCGGGCCGCAAGAAGAAACCAGCTATGGCGGCCGAGGGAGCGCTAGGCCTGCCTCCCATCACTGGGGAACCTGCAGGAGACCTTTCAGGAAGCCCACCCCAGGCTAAATTGCTGCAAGGCCAATCCCTTCACTACCAATTTAATGCTAAGAGCTGATGACGTTCATCAAATCTGACAGCATTTTGGTAAACGACGGCTCTGTTGATTAGGCCGCTGTCCACCCAAGTATTACAAGGCTGAGGAAGCCATAAATCTTAATCCATGGATAGCGGCAGAAAGATCTAAGACCCAGAAGCAGCGGGGGGAAAGGACAGTAAAAACAAGAGCCCATATATCATGGGCACCCATTCTGCTGTGAAAGCGGCAGCTCAGAAGCCACAGCTGTCGCCGTGAGCCTGAGCCCCTAGATGGGGTAGCTCGGAAGGGTGTCGCAGGGGAGGGCCTCAGCTTGTCCCCAGCATGTGGATGACTCTGAGGGACCCTCAGGCTTGTGTGCCCGAGGGAGCCCTTTCCTTTGGGAAGTTCTTCCCAAAGAGTGCTTCCGGACCGCTGGCCACGACCAGAAAGAAGGAAGCAAATGGGATTCACGGGCAGGGCAAGGTTACGGGGCATGGTCAGCAGCGATGGGACACGTGACTCCAGAGGTTTGGCAGGGAGGCCTGAGAAAGCCCAGCGAGCAGGAGAGCCAGAGGAAATGGTGCAGCTGTCAGCAAGGCCAGGGGGCCCTGGGACTGTAGGTGACCCTGCTGACCTGGCTGAGGTGAATAAATGAGGTGACAGTGGGGTCCCTCACCACTTCCTGGAGAGCCCTGCCACACAGGAGCACCACCCCACAGGACCGGGACAGGCTGGGGTCCCTTTCCTAATGGGCTGGTCTTTGAGAACTAGCCACAAGGAGAGAGTGTTGCCCACCCCGGCTGCCTCCAAGGACGGGAAGTCTGTGCCGAGGGCGAGGACTGCTCCACCCTCAGAGCCAAACACCCGTCTTGAGCTGGAGGTGTAGCTCCGCAGCAGAGCACTCACCTCACACATGCAAGGCCCTGGGTTTATCCCCAGTGCTGAAACAAACAAAAAATAATAATAAGAAGAAAAAAACCTGTCTTCCCGCACTTTCTACCGCAGAAAAGCTTGCGACTTAACTCCCCTTCTTGAGGCCAAGGGACACCAAGTGTGTCCCTCTCCCTCGTGACAGTAACGAAGGCGCAGCTGGCGCACTGGGTCCATTTGCCGTCCCGGCCCAGCCTCTGGGATGAGAAGCTGTGAGGTCCACCGTCCCTACTCCAGCGCAGCTTCAGGGCAGGCGGGGTTTGCAGCGGACAGAGAGCTTGGCCCCAGTGCCACACCCAGACCCCGGAGGCAGCAGGGGGTACCCCAAAGCCTGGTGACAAGGACGAGCTGAGACTTTCAACGCAAGTCCCCCCGAGATGATCCACGAACACTGAGGGCGGGAAGGCTGACACGGGGAAGGTGTGATGGGGGCGCGGCGGGGAGTCAGGGGAAGCAGAGCGGGGCACAGGGACGGGGTGTGGAGAGCGGGGGCTGTGGGCGGCTGGTGAGCAGGCGAGCGCTGCTCGGCGGGGGGAGCTCTGCCTCGGGGCTTCTGCGGCCTGCACAGTGCTCGCCCGAGACAGACAGGCCTTCCGGCTCGCAGCAGCAGGGGATGCAGAAACCCAAACTCCTTGTGGCAGGCTGCTGGACCCGCGGGACCTCTGCCTTCCTCCCTCTGACCTGACCCAGCCACCCCCGCCCTCTTCACAACCGTGCAGCAGCCACCCTCCCTTCCCCTCACCTGTGTCTGCGGCCTGTGTCCCCAGGCACCTGGCTGTACCCATCTCTAACCCTCACCCCGCAGGTCTGCTCACAGCTGCCTCAGCACACACTTAAGTCCCTGTTCAGGAGGCCTCCGAGCGTCTGCCACCTGCTGCTCAAGTGACGCCGCCCTGCCATGGCCCACTCCTGCCACGGCCCGCCCCCCGCCACGGCCTGCCCCTGCCACGGCGCGCCCTGCCACGGCCTGCCCCTGCCACTTCCTTCTCGCCTTCACAGTGCTTGCTGCTGCCTCACTCTGTCCTCTGCCCCACTCCATGTAAGCTCCGGGAGCACTGGGCCTGGCTGCCTCCCCCAGTACCCCCACCCTGGCACTGGCGAGGGACCCAACCACAGCAGGTGCTGGCCACGACGGGAGTGCAGGACACAGTGGTGTGAAGCACCTTGAGGTCTCCAGACCAGCTGCCCTCGCCCTCTCCCCCTCTGTCCACTCCACCGAGGGTCAGTACTGTTTGCCACGTTGTCCAGGCCCGGTGTGGCTTAAAGCTCTGCAGACTGCAGCTCAGCCGACGCTCCTCAACCTTCTTCTCCCTCCCCTCCCAGAGCGGACACCGGCACAAGCACCGAGAGGGCGAGCGGCTGACCCAAGGCGGCACAGCTGCTGGGTTGGAAGCCTGGGCTCAGCATCCAGGCCGCTGGGGGCAGGGGCTGCACCCTTAGCTACTTCTCTGGACTTGAGTGTCACTGGCTACCAGATGCTCCGAGATGACAAGGCAGACAGTTCCTGCTGGGGCCCACCTGCGACACACTCCTTCCCAGCAGCCCTGGGAGGCCAAAGCTCAGAAGGGTTCCATGACCAACTCCAGGGCACACAGCTAGAAAGCGGCCCAAAGCCTGCCCCTTCTGCCCTCTGCAGGCCACAAGCGCAAACATCCCAGCGAGCGGGGAGTGGAAATGCAGTGGGCCACAGCACCTTGGGGGGGTGGTAACCCAGTGGGCTCACGCCCTGCCTCAGGTGGGCAGCCGCTGCTTGGCCCTCACCGGTGGTGGCCTAGCGTTGGGGGCCAGATCTTTCCATTTTTCTAGGGAAATAAGGACCTAGGTTTTTAACATATAGAACATTTGAATTTAAATGTTGGCAAGTGACTAAAAATCTTTTTAAAACCCTGGGTGCAAAAGTATGGTCTGGGGGCAAGGTGGACCCACAGGCTTCAAGCTGTCAACCTGAGGATGCCAGCAGCCCAGCCCTGCAGCTGTTTGAAAACAGTCACCTCCTACCCTCACCACGGTCACAGCAGGAGACTTAGCGGATGTTTTAAACCGCAGAACTCTGCACAGTACCTGGGCCCTGGCCGGGGTCACTAAACGTCTCCTCCTCCGACTGATGACTGCTTCCCGCCATGTCGGGTCCCTTCACCCTGCCCGAGGGCCCTAGGTCTGCCTAGATCTCTGAGGCATGGTCCCTGAAGGACCAGGAGCGAGTAGAGGGAGTCCGAGCAGCGGCGGGGAGTTGGCACCTCTGCTGTCCACAGGTGCCTGTTTGTCCGGACCAAATTCTGTGATTCCTGAGTCCTTGCTGACTCTGCTTCTGGATGCAACAGGGGTTCGGCCAATCAGACAGCCTCACCCAGCATGAGGAGAGCAGAGTGTGGGGAGGAGAGGAGAGAGGCAGATGCTGACTGCTTTTCCACTGAGCACAGGTGTGGAGGTGACGGGGTTTTGAGCAATGTCCCGCACTGGCCAGGCCAGAGGACAGCGCTCGTCTCTACCGTGTGGTTGTAGCAGGAGGCATCCAGCCGCCTGAGTCCCAGCTCCCGCTTGGCCATGCGTTCCTGAGGCTGATCCCCACCTTCCTGCCCACGTCCTAGCAGGCAGCTCTTCTGGCAAGCCAGCGTCCCTCGTCCACCTTCTGGGTACGCTTCCTGGAGGCCCAGCTCTGAGCCCACTCATCAGCGCAGCCCAGGGCCGCGGAGTCAGCGTCCTCTGCCGGCACCGCCACCCCAGCTCCTAGAACAGCCCAGGGGTCTCTGCTGTTAGGCACTGACTGACCCCTGACTGATACAGAGCAGAAGGACAATTACAGCCTCCTGGCTTCAGGAAGCCAGGAAATGAGCCATGATTGGGCCTTGTGAAGTGTGGAGCCGCAGGAGAGACTAGGGAGGGATGCTAATTAATCTTAGGCCAAGTCTTTTAAATTGCACAGACTCTGGGGCCAGCCATTAAGTCACAGTCTAAGACACAAATATGGCTCCTGATAATAGAAGGCACTCCACACAACCCGGAGAACCGTCTTGAGTGGGAAGTGGCGAACAGCCTCATTAATGAGAAATTAACATTCATTGCTGGGGACAAAAGGAAGCCTCCAGGCCACTGCCCCCTGGGGCTGCTCTTCAGCACTGAGCAGGCAGGATAACCTTCCCTGCTGAGTCGCAGCCTAGAAGATGCCCCTCAGGGGAAGCAGACGCCCCCACAGGCCCAGTGTTCAAATTCCAGCCTCCGCTCTTCAGCCAGGGGACTCACAGCAAGTGACCTCACTTCTGTGGGCCTCGGCATCTCCAGGGGCACAATGAGGACCTGCACGGACCTGAGGGTCACTAGGGGCACCCGACGGGGGCCTCCGCATTTGGTCCAGGGTCAACACAGCCTGATTGCTGGTCCTCCTCAGGCCAGCATCTCCAAGGGGTGGGGCCTAAGTGCTTGGATTTTAAAACCTTCCTAGGATGGGAAGGGATGTGCAGCTGTGCAGCCGGGGCCAAGCAGGGCCCCTGGTCCCATCCAAAGCGTACGTGACTGCCACACAAGACCTTAAGTACTACATGGGCAAGACCATGAAACCTGGGGCAAAAGCTGTGGGCCTGAGTTTTGGTTCTGTTACGTCAGCTCATTGAATTTTTCTGCGCATCTGCCTCCTCTGCTCCCTAAAAAGAAGAAAGACATCAGACCCCACCCTCTAGGACTGTAGTGAGGATAAAAAGGAGTCATGCGGGAACTCAGGCCATGCCTGCTGCCCAAGCTGGGTGCTCAAAAATGCAGGCTGTCGCCCTCACAGTATCTGTATCAATCTGAACTGTCACTTCGGCATCATGGGGCAGGGGCTTTGTCTCCTTCACCTGCTATACCCCTGGCTCTGAGGCCAGGCCCAGCACATAGTAGATGGTCAATAAAAAATGCCTGGAGGGATGACTCATCATGAAAGGGCTATGAGTCGGCCCTTCCTGCAAAAGGAAGGACCAGGCAGCAGAAAAGGAGCCCCTCAAAATCAGATACACACACAGAAAAGGCACCACTACAGTGCCTGCCCAGCACACCCATACGCTGCTGGGAGGTTTTAAAGGCCTGATTATATTTGTTTCCACATCAACTTTATCCTAAAGTGAGAGCCAGGGCCACAGCCTTGCTGGTACCCTGGGTTTCCAGACCTGGTGCCATCCTCGGCGCTGGCCTTTGCTGGGCGTGGTCCGGGAGCTGCATCTTGAGGCTTCTTCCGCTTCCCGAAGCAGGGTTCTTTGTCCATAATCTGCACCAGAGACAGGGAAGGATACGGTGAAAACAAGCTCTCACCGAAGGCTTGTCCTAAAACCGTTTAAAGTACATGTCAGGGTGTCCAAAGTCTCGTCTGTGCGGGCAGTCACAGCAGTGCCGTCTGTAGCAGCAAAACATTAAAAAAAAACAAGCCAAATGCCCAGCAAAAAAGGAGCAAGTAAATCGGCATATCCAGGCTACAAAATAACTTGTATAACGTACAGCAAATCAGCCTGATCTGCATGCACAGAGATAAAGGAAGCTAGGCACAGGGCCGCTCGTGTAGTAGGTGACCATCTGTAAAGAAGTAGGGAGAGGGGCAATGTACTTGTTGAATGAATGAATGAATGAATGAATATGCTCTTGGGACTCCAAGTACAGACGATCCCTTTACCTGTGTCCCCTGAGCCTCCTAACCAGCAGCGCGCCCGCACTGCTGCACCCCCAGAGCTGGGAGACCCGTGGTTTCCTTCCTTGCCTTGGAGTGGCTCTCCCAAGGGAACATTCTGGGACATCACTTTCTCCTCTCATTCTTTGGCTGCTGTTCTGACTTTTGCTGTGTACGGATGCCTTGGGTGCTTACCATATGCACAAAGCAATGAATTAGAATGACACAGATCAAGGTTGCTGTGTGCCAGGCACTTTTCATTTCGTACATCACTTGTACGAAGTGCTGGCTAGACTGCAAGTTGGACTTAATTATTCCCACTGTCCAGAAGAGGAAATTGAAGGCCCAGCCAGGTCCCAAATGACTTGTGATCTCGAAGCTAGAAAGTATCAGACAGGCCTTATTCAAACCTAGTTCTGTCTCACTCCACATTTTCTTATAACTCAGTAACACGCTGGCCTCTCAGACAAAGTAGTCTGCCGTGAAGGGCACTCTGGCACCCCGGGGACAGGCAACTTTGCTAATTCTGTTTTAAAGATGAGACAGCAGAGGCACAGAGAGACAAAGTAGCTTCCCCAGAGTAGCACAGCCAAACTGGGGCCAGACTCCCTCGGCCCTGCCGTCCCATTCATTTGGTATGAAGTCATTTTTGGCGGCTACACTGGGCCAGACATGAGCAGCGACCTTTCTCCTTTACATTCACAGGTGTCCCACGTTCTCCTTACAGGGCACACAAAACCCGTTTAGGGCATGCGTGGCACCGATGGATGAAATGCAGAAATGAACGGTGGAATCAAACATGACACGGGACAGGTACTACACTTAAGAGATATCAAGTGAAAATTAGGTACAATCAAAGGTACCTAGACATGTCCTTAAACTACTGACAATTGAGCCCCAGGAAACGTAAGAGTAAGAAATATACTGCTCCGTCTGCCTTTGCATTTGGTAAGAGAGGTGAAAACCAGGAAGAGAAAGGAATTTCCTGGGCTGGGAGTGTGGCTCGGTGGTAGAGCAGTTGCTTAGCGTGTGAAGTCCTGGGTTCCCTCTCCAGTGCTACCAAAAAAAAACGATTTAGTTGCTTGCTCTGATAATCTCTTCCTGGTTAAGTAGGTATAGTTAACTTGTCACCTTAACTAGTTATCTGTTGGTAAGCTCATGTGCACAGGACACACTTGCAGAATTCTTGATTTTCTTTCTTCTTTTGCAGTGCTGGGGATGGAACCCCGGGCCTTGTGCAGGCTGTCAGCAGGCAAGGGCTCCGGCACCGAACCACAGCCCTCGCCCCCTAGTTTTCAAGGGAGAGAGTTGCTGCCTGGCCTCCAAGGGCCGGCGCTCACCGTGCATCCCCTCGGCCTGTGAGGCGCTTCTGGAGAAGTCTGCGTGCACGGCTTTCCGAGGCGACGTCCTCAACTCCGAGTTGGCCCCATTGACGTAGACGGAGAAGCCCTGCTCCAGGTGCTCCAGTCGCAGCTGCACAGGGTCCTTGGCTTTCAGATGTTTTAATATCCTGGAAGTGAAATGATCGTGTGGGCGTCTACGCTGCCACCACCCGCAAGCCGGAAGTGAGCTGCTTTTGGAACGGCAGTGGCCAGGCAGCCTTAATAAGAGGCCAGGCGGCGTGGGTCCAGCTGTTCGTCTACAAACGGCCTCTAAGAGGCCCATTACAGACGCGGAGACACCGCGAGGGGGAGACAGTTGGGGGCCCTGTGGGGAAGTTTCTGCCACTGTTCTGAGGCTCAAAGGCACATTAGTGAAAAGGAACACTTGTGGCTCCTGCCTGGTGGCGGTCAAGGCTGAAAAGAGGGGTATGCACCGTGCTGGGACCATATGACCCGGATTTTCTGAGGCAGTTCCAGTTTCATGCAATTTTACTTTGTGTGAGCAGCAATATTTTGATGTGCAACAAAAGGTGGCTTAGGGCCTCAGGCTTTGTGGAAGAGATTTCACATACCACATCCACACACCAGGAAACGGTCCTCATCGGACTAAGCAGACTAATCTTTGCGCATGGAGAATAAACGTGTCCTCAAATACTCATCTGTGGCATCTCATACGCCACCGTTTCACGTTCCAGTGGAGTTGGAAAACACATCCAAGCAGGAAGCTGTTTGAGGTTGATGATGTGATTGTCAGCTCCTTTGGCACAAGCATGGTGGCCAGAGCCTAGGCTAGCTTCAGCCCTGGCCCAGACTCATCCTTCCAGCCTGGTCCTCACTCCCCCTTCTGCCACCACCTGGCTCCAGAGGTGAGCAGTGTCCTTAATCAGCCCCCTACAGACCCACTGCCACGTGCCACTAAGCTCCCCCGTGTCCCCTAGGTTTACGCAGAAACCAGCCAGCATGACAGGTGGGCATCCTCTTAGTAACGAAGGACGTGCCCACCGCATTAGCACAATTTCCATTTCTAAAAATAATTATCACACGAACTGTTCTAAACATACACGTACAGTGAGTCTCACTATTACTTGAGGTCGTTGTTTCAGGATATCGCCATGAACATGGAATTAGTGAATCCTAAACCACTGCTCCCAGGGAAATGACAGAATTAGGCTTCTGTGAGTCTCTGATCACATTTTCAATCAAGTAACACATCACCTTGTTCTATGTGTGTCTGATCAAAGACATCCTACTGCGTTGTGGATTCACTGACAGTGAACTCACGGCCATACCACTCGAAACTCAGTGCTGAGCAAAGCTTGCCTAACACACCTATGAGCGGTGACCCCAAAATACAGTGAATTTTAATTAATTTTTAAAAACCTATTGCAGTAAGAGACACATTACCATTCGTCTCCATCAAACTCCTCCTCCACACACACTTTGAACATACATTGTTCTCGACACTTCCTGAAGCAGCTCTGGAAGTCCTCTCTCTTATCTTTAGTTGCGCTGGCTTAGCTGCCTCAAAGTCTTAAACTGATTCAAAGCATTTACTTTTCATGGTCATTGTGACTTTGGGGACGACCCAGAAGTTGCACAGTGCCAGATCCAGTGGGTAAGGGGGACGAGGACACACCGTAATGTTTTTACTGAGCCTGCCTTTCTCACGAGTGGCAGCAGCTTGGCGGCAGCAGTAACTGTATTTCTGATTGCACCTCATAAAGACACTCACAACAGAGCACTTCCGGAACTGCTGCAGAAAGCGGCGAGAACAATGAGGTAAGTACGTGCAGAGCGCTGCCCTGTTCCGCATCTGCCAGGACATGTGCGTCAAGCGACTAGCATTTTTTTGCCGCTCTGCCCATGTCTGCAAGTGACTGCGAAACTTGATCAAGGTTACACAGCTGGAAAAAAAAAAACAAAGAAAACAAAAAAGTGCCGGGCGTGGTGGCGCACGCCTGTAATCCCAGCACTTGGGAGGCAGAGGCAGGAGGATCGCTGCAAGTTCGAGACCAGCCTGGGCTACAAAGTGAGCTCAAGGCCAGCCTGGACTGCATAGCGAGACCCTGTCTCAAAAAGACAAAAAAAAAAAAAAAAAAAAAAAAAAAAAAAAGGTTACGCAGCTGGTATGCGGCAGGGCCAGGAAGAAAACGCAGGCAATCTGGCTTCAGAGTCACCACCAAGACAAAAACTAAAGCCAGTGAAGTGATGTTAGAGCCGGCAAACAGATGTTGCTAGCAACTCACAGAACCTTCTTGGAGCAACTAGGGAAACAGAAAAGATGCCCTATATTCAGTCTTTGCCTAGTAAGCACATTCGAGCAAAACGGTCCTGAGCAAAAGCTGTGGGCAGGAAGGCGGCCAGCACTCAAGACGTTAAAAATCAACCCAAGCGCTCACCCCAGGGAAGGAGAGACGGGGATGCTCCGCAGCAGGGACAGATACTTACTCTCTAAGGATTCGAGCAGGGCTGTTGGCACCCAGCGGGGGTAGTGGAAAAGGCACAAGGGGAAGAGTACCCAGGTTTTAATGCAAAGATGTGGGAGCATGTCTGCGGCCCAGAACGGAAGGTGACGAATAACAATGGAATCAACCGTAGAGGTAAGGTGGCGGCAACCACAGGCAATTTCTTTGTTTACTTTTTCAATGTTTCTTTAGCAGCTGATACATCCACCTTTCCAACCATCACGGCAGGAACATTTATTACAGACTGCTTATCTCCTGCCAGCCTTGGAAGCCTGGGAGATGCCTGATTGTTGGGCAACAACGTAAAAACAGGAGGAAAACACGCGTATCTAAGAGACGACTTCGAAACAGGGCCAGCGCTATGCTCGTGGGGGCAAATCATCAAGGGACACTGGGGACCAGCGTCTCTGCGGAGACAGTGGCCTGGGGCGCGGAGGGAAGGCAAACAGCCAGGCGGAGCGTGCTGCCCCCGCCTGTGCCTCCCTGAGGCTGCCCTGCCTCCTGCGCCACGCACGGTGTGGCACCCTGCTTCCCGGGATGCAGGGCCGGCACTGCACGTGCGCCTCTACTTAAGCAGGATGACTTATGAAAATGCGGATTTATGAAACTGATAAATTAGGAGATAATTATTCAGACTGTGAAAGGAATTGCTAAAGGAACTCCCCGGAGCACATCAGTAACGTTCAGGTGGCAACAGAGAGAAAGACTTTTAAAAAAAATTGAGAGCCTGCTTTGCATAAAAAGCTGTCCTGGGGGTAGACGATCCAGATAAATCAGATTCAGCGCCTGCCCGGCCTGAAATCGAGCCTGTGCCCACCTCCTGCCCTGCCAGGCTCTATTCTCCTACCTGGTTTCCTCTGGTCACGACGCAGATCACCACGGATACTATAATATGGGTCTGTGCGTATCTGTTTCTTCCTGCTTCTCCAGAACCTGGGCACAAGCTCCGCCAGGCCGCCTGCAGTGCCCGCCCAGCGTGGCCAACAAGGAGGCGCTCAGTACCTGCTTCCCGAACAAGCGGCCCCCAGGACACAGAAGAGTGGTTAACGTTCACAGCTACCACTTATCCGAGGCGTGTTATGGCCATCATTGCCATTTCACTTGCATGGTGGCCCCTGGCTCAGCTGGCCTGGCACTCTCTCACACAGATGAAGTAGGGGCAAGCAGTGCCCCGCAGGGTGTGCCTGGGGCCCTGGCCCAGCAGGGGTTGGGATGCTGAGGGTACGTTCTCCCTTCCTCATGGGCCACCAAAGCAGAGACCCAATGGTGATGAAACTTGACTGGGGGACAGTGCCATAAAGATGACCTGGGGCAGCTAGGTGTGGTGGCACATGCCTGTAATCTCAGCACTCTGGGAGGCTGAGGCAGGAGGGTCTAGAGTTCAAGGCTAGCCTGGGCAACTTAGTGAGACCTCGTTTCAAAATAAAAAAAATAAAAGGCTGTGGGTGTAGCTCAGTGTAAAGGTCCAAGATTCAGTCCCCAGTGCTACACACACACACAGAGGAGCCGGAGGATGGTGCGCACTGATGTGGTGGCGGGCTTGCCGCACACGTTCAAGTCCCTTGTCTCACTGCACCTTCGGTTGGGTGCGGGGTTTAAGTGTCCCTTTGGCCTGTATTATAGATGAACCTGCCCACAACCACAGCACCAGGAAAGCAGGCTGGCTGGGACTTCAGTCGGGCCTGTGCTCCACTGACCCCCTTGTGCAGTTTCTCCAGGTGCCTGCACCAGGTCCTCTGCACCAGGGGAGCTCAGAGGGAGCTGGGGCTTCTGAGAGGCAGTGGTATCACATCAGAGGCCTGCTCTGCAGGGGAAGGGACGGGCAGGGCACAAAATGCCCACCATCTGCGACCCTGGGTGGGCTGCAGGGTCTGCTGGGTATCCTTTACACTGTCCCCCAGGAGGTGCGCCTGCTCCAGCCAGGGCGGCCTCACGTGCAGGATGGAGCTCATGCTGGGGGCTCTGCTATTCCCCCAGCACATGACCCTGGGCAGGTCCCCTGGGGGCCTGTTCCCTCTTCTATGGAAAGACAGCAAGAATGCCTGCATCTGCACTGGCGACCACGCGGATAAAGGCCACAGGGAAAGCGCCAGCCACAGCGCTGGCCCAGGCGAGGCCCGCCCAGTAACGCTCCCTCGCCTTCCTTCTTTCTGCCTGACTCGCCTTTTAAGGGGTAGGGTCGCCTCACCTGCCTCCCGGGCCTGTTTTCTTGTACATTTCCCTCAGATGACCTTGCTCAAGGACCAAACGACAACGCTATTGCTGGACTCTTGCATCTAGCGTATGTGCGGCGCTCACTCCGCGGGGGGCTGCCGCAGCCCCTCCCTGCACCAGCTCCACAGACACAGCCCCTGATCCTGCAGCCGCCCCCATCACGCGGCCGTTTGATCACCCTGCCGGCTCAGGCACCAGTCTTGTTGGGCGTGATTACACTGTGTGCGAGCTGAGTGACCGGAATGGCTGAGAGTCTGCAGGCGCAAGCCACCGGGGGAAGCAGGGATGTGTCCTCCCATCTCTGTCCCCTCCCGGAGCACAGGGCAGAGTTCTGCTCCTCCCGGGTGGTGCCGTTATAAGCAGTTTCCACCCACGGAGCTCCTCAAGGCCCAGGACTGTGTGATGGACACCTGTCCTTTACCCTACCCGCCGCCCTCCCACCCTCAAACAGCTCCTGGCGTTTCCCGGGGAACGGTACCCCTCCTCTTGCTCCACGTGGCTGGACGAGGACGGCCTGCACTGCCCAGTCTAGGGGGTGGCCAAGAGCTGCGGCCCCCATCAGACACAGAGAATGACTGGCTCCAGAGGGGAACAGAACTCAAGCAGGGCCAATGGGAGACTGCAGCATGTGTGCTACAAGTACTAGGAAAGAAACGCCCTTTCTCTGAGATAGACGCGAATAGGGCTTCCGCTGGCTGTCTCTGCCACGGTGAGGGAAGTAACCACCGGGGAATGACGCCCATATGGGAAGAAGAGAGGAGAGACAGAGGATGACTGACACTGGTGACATAACCGAAGCTCCTGGTTTCAGCTATGCCTAAAGCCAGTTATCATGCTGGATGTCTTCACGTCATGAGCGAGTAAGCTTCCAATTGCACAAGTCTCCTTAACCTGGGGGTTTTGCCCCTTACAACCAAAGGACACGACACTAATGCAGCCTCTCCTCCTCACTGCAATCTTTTCCTCTGTATGAGCATAACGCCAGGTACTTGGAAGGGACCCCGTGAAATCCTTCTGGATGAACAGAAGAATAACACCACCCAGCCTCTTAGGGGCAGCCGGGCTCTGGCAGATCTCTGCAAAGAACCCCCTGGTGGTCGCACGTGCTCTTCTCAGGTTACAGGCAACCCTGCTAGGCTGCCTGGGTTGCATCCCCCTCTAGGCCTGATACTAAAGCTCACAGACTGGTTTTTACCTGGTTATATAACTACGCTTCCAAGTAAATTACAGTTCACTCCCACCAAGTTCCATCTTAGTAAACTTGGGGCCATCGGCAACCCCGGCAGGCTCCTCTCACTTTGATTATTTATGAAAACATCAAACAAAATACAAAGTACAACCCAGCTCTGCTGCTTCTTGATTCGACACACCCTGGGCATGCTGGTCACTCTTCTGTGTGTTTACTTCCTCATCTGTAGAATGGGTACAGTCTCCATCTGCTTGGCTGGGTAATGTGCAGATAAAATGAGTAGTGGTAGCTGGGTAGCGGTAGCTGAGGCTTGGCTGGCCGTGGCTTTAGGGCATGCCCCACTCTTCACAGTTCTCCCTGCAAAGGCACCTCTTTCCCGCTGTACTTTCTCCCTTCCTGCCATTAACACAGCTCGCTCTCAGTCAAAACTTGCCCCCCCCAATTTTATGGCAACTCAGTTTTGATATATTTTTAATTGTCTTTGTGCTGCAACCTTGTCTCGGGAAACTCTCATACATGCTATCAGCCAGGACCTCACTGACTGCACACTTATTGATCCCACGATTAACGAGAAACAATCTGCTCATAAGGAGCTATGACACTCTCTGCCCAGACAAGTCACGTGGAGATGATTAAACCATCACCCAGGTGTTCAGCGGCACCTTCCAGCCTGCCAGAAATGGAATCAAAACATCCTGCTCCGTGGTGGCGATGCTGATAAAAGCCCGCCGCGGTCCCATCAGCACAGGATTGCTGGGCCGGGCCTGAGGCCGCCCGGGGTGCAGCGGGGGCATTACTGAGCAGCTGGGTGTGGACAACGCTGTCTGGCCCTTCGGTTGGTCCTGGAGAGGCTACTCTGCAGTCCTCCAGCCAGAGTGGTGCTGCCTCCCCAGTGGGTGTTCGGAAACGTGGGCAGGTGTTGTTGCCATGGATACAGGGGGTGTGGGGGGGTCTCGATGGATAGAACTCTACTATGGGCCAGTGGGCAGGGGTGCTAAACTATACTGCACAGGACTACCCTGTACCACAAAAACATGTCCCGCAAAAGTGCCACCAGGGCCCTGCTGACAAACCTCGTAGTCCAGCCAGTCGGTCGAGGGCTCACTCCACATTCAGGATGATGCCCCCAGGACTCTCTCCCGCCAGCCCCCAAGCCCACTCCCATAGCACAAAGGCGCCAGTCAGCTCCGCCGTCCTCTTCCTCCCGTCACGTCTGTTTTGTAGGTCTGCACCATTCTTCTGTTCGGCTTGGGCTTTAACTGGAGCTCATTACCAGCATTTTAAAACTCTGGAGATTTTGTAACACATACCCGGATCTCCAGCCTCTTCGGCAAATTCAGAGGAGCCAGAACCTCGGGGGCCTGTGTTCCCACGACAAGTGGTCTAAGCTGAGCAGCGCGGCTAGGAGAGCTCCAGGTTGCCCACGGCCCCTGCTGTGTCACTGTCACTCGCCCCTCGGCCCCTTTTCGGCTTTGAGTTCGCAAACCCAGCTCAGGCTCGAGGCCTCGAGACAAAGCCCGGTGAACCTGAAATGGACTGCTCAGCCATGCAGAGGGACGAAGGCCTCCTCCCCACTTTGAAACCACCCCGGCTGCTCTGACCTTGATCACTAAACACTACCTACTGTAGGCTTTTTTAGAGCCAGCACTAACTTAACATCAGCCTTAATTTAACTTCCAATGACACACACCCCAACTTCAAACACAAATGTGAAACGACTGCAACTTTACATAATATGACATGACTGTAGGTTCAGATTTCAAGGGACTGTCAAAGCCGCTGAGATCACAGGCTGGGCTATGCAGGTGACTGCTGCGTAGGCCCTCCCAAAAATTCCACTTTCTCCCAGAACAGAATCAGGGAGGCAAAAGGTGGCACTGCCACGCACAACAGCCTGCTACAGCTCAATCCAAAGACACGGTTAAACCAGGGAGTGGGGAAACGGGAGCTGAAATTGCAGGTAAATGTTCCAGGCCTCTGAGCGGAGGGGCCTTCGCACCCCATCTCCAGGCCACCCGGGCTGCCTGTTGCTAATAAATCTAAATAGATTTTTATTTGGCTAATAACAAGGGCTGCCGTTGGACGGCTTCATCTTACCGGTTCCTCTGCTGAAGCAATATTAAATACTCATCATGTTTCTCATCAAAGTCTGTCACCATGTCCTTAGTGTAACCCTGAAATGAAGAAACAGAGCGCTGTGATAGCGGAATGCAGGGAAGCCTTTGCGGAGAGTCAGGCGCTGCATACGCCGGTGCCGGAGGCTGAGGGGCAGAGGCCAGCCTCGACGAGGCCTAGCTCCCTGGATGTGTCACTCTGGCAACCCAGAGCCCCAGGGACTGCCGATGGCCCAGTGGGCTTTAGACACGGCAACTCTAACCATCTACAAAAGAAGTTCAGCTTCCTAGCCTTACTGCTGTTCACTCTTCCTATGCCCTATGGAATCCAGGGCTCAGACAAGACTTGGGCCTTTAAGATCTCTCTCTCTTTGTATTTGTTTGTTGCTGTTTGTCCTATGGTTGTTTTGGTTTTGAGAAGCTCTTCATATAAAGCCCAGGCTGATTTGGAGCTAGGCTGCCTTTGAACTTGTGATCCTTCTGTCTAGACACCCGACTGCTGGGATTACAGGTGTGTGCCTTGATGCCCAGCAAGATCTATTTTCTCAGCACTTATTAATTGGTTATTTCAAGCGTCATAACTAGATACAACCCAAATCAGCTGTTTCAGACAGGATCTCATCTTGTCCTTGCCATTGTGAGAGGAATGCGTGCTTATAAACAACACAATCGCCGGGCGTGGTGGTGCACGCCTGTAATCTCAGCACTCAGGAGGCTGAGGCAGGAGGATCCTTGTGAGTTCGAGACCAGCCTGGGCTACAATGTGAGCTCAAGGCTAGCTTGAACTGTCTCAGAAAGACAAAAACAAAACAAAAACAAAAACAACGCAATCACTACAGACACACATGGCCCTGAGAGGGAAGGTCCCTTTGGGTTGTCACTGGACTTTTCTGTAAAAGGCATCTGCGTTTCCATCCGAAAACCATTCAGCGGCTCTTTCAGTTTGATGGCTTCCTTAGGTTGCTCTGCAGTGCTCCTGCGGGCTCCTCTTAAATCACTCGGCCTCAGTGTGGAAGCACTCTGTACATGGTGCTTCCTCAGCACCATGAATACCTGGTTTAGGGGTGACCACAATCTGTGAGCCCTGAGACTTTGCTGATACTCTGGAGGGAGGGAAGCTGCTCTCTTTTTTCTAGGCTGCTGAGCAGATGAGACACAGGCTTGGACCCGTGAATGAAGCCAATAAAAAAGACAGCAGAGCCAGGTGCAGCGGTGTACACCTGTAATCCCAGACAGTCCGGAGGTGAAGGCAGAAGGGTCTCAAATTTGAGGCCAGGCTGGACAACTTAGCAAGATCTTGTCTCAAAAGAAAAAGAGGATATAGTTCAGTGCCCTGCTGGTTCAAGTGCCAGTAGAGAAAGAGAGAGAGAGAGAGATGGAGAGAAACGAGACACAGATTCCTGACATCACTGAGTCTCTGGATCCATTTATGCCTGAAGTCGTCTCTGGAAAATTCATTTATTGCTTTAGAAGCTTCAGCTGAGGTTCTGTCCTCTACAGCCCAAATAAATTCCAAGTAACATACCATCAGAAAGAACTCCTTTTACAGTTTGCTACAGTTCTATGGTGGGATATTTAAAGTGACATGCAAATACCAATAAAACCTCTCAGAAAAAACTCCTTTGGATGTTTTCCTATGTTCATAGTGTACCCAGACACAGATTTACACACAGATATACCCTTGTTTTCTTAAACAAAAATGGGATTGTGCTGTAAGTGATGCTTTGTAATGTGCTATTTCTTAAATAATTTTTTGCCAAAGAATGGATTAAAGGTACATTATCAGCTCAGCACTGTGAAGAGTTATAGCAAGTCCCAGAGACCATCTCAAATGGCAACTAGGACTTATGTCAGAGAAAGGCAACTGGTAGGAAAATCCTAGTGATCATCGTGGGGAGAAGGAAACAGAAAAAAAAGAAAAGGAAAAGAATCTCCAATGCTCTTAATTTCCCATGTCTGGTTTTAACCCTATAATGCCACCACAACCCTACCCAAGGTGGCCCAGAGCCACCTTTACCAAATACAAACAGTCCCCAAGTCATGACAGTCCAACTTGATGATACAACCTTCCTGTTTTTCACTTCCAGTTCAACAGTCAATGAGTTCCATGGGCTATTCAACACTTTACTATAAAAAAGGCTGTGTGTTAGATGACTTCGCCCAACTATGGGGTAACGTAAGTGTTCTGAGCATGCTTGTGGGAGGTGAGGCTGCCTGCAGGTATGGTAGACTGAGTGTATTCATGCATTTTCACCTTACAATGTTTTCACCTTCAGATGGGCTTACTGAGGTGTGGGCCCATTGTAAGTCAAGGAGCATCTGGGTAACGGCTCTCTCTCATCCTTGTCACTTGCGCAGGCCACCTCTCCCCCGCCGTGTTCTTCCTGGGCTGGGCAGTGCTGAGCCCCTTCCTGCGTGGCTGTCTGCCTGTGCCTCCTCCGGCTGTCCTTCCCCTCTGCTCTCATCTGTGGATGGTCAGTGTTTCTCTGCCTATTGTTTTTGCAGTGCTGCGGATGGAGCCCGGGTCCTGCACATGCTAGGCAAGGCTATCTCTGAGTCATACCCCACAGCCCTGAAACCTCTGAGTTTTACTGGAGTTTCTGCTGCCTCCTTTGGCCAAGCTGAAAAAGAAATAATTTGGCCAATCTGGACCTGAGCAATAATAAGAAAGGGTGATGTTATGAAACTATAAAAAAATTTTTAGAAAAACTAGCAATACCTGTGGCAATTCTCCTATTTCTCTGGCTTCCTGAGATACCCGAGGATGAAGCCTTGCCTCCCCGTGAGTGTGGGCAAAGCACGAGATGCTCTCGCAGGAAAGCAGGTTTGTGGGACACTGGCTCAAGGGTGGAGGTGGGAGGGCGATCCTTGGTTCCTTCTAGAATAACAGCACATGTATTCTGTGAACAATTTATGTAGCACTTCCAGGTACATTATTCTCCTTTGATCTTCACTGCAGCTCTTGAAGTGGTTATTATTACCCCATTTAAGATACAAGGAAATTTGTCCCATGCATCATCCTGGAACACGGATACGACTCCATGGCAATTTATGTAACCATTCTGAAATATTAAAATGACCGCTGATTGACAGATTATGGCATGGAGTGAAACATCTGATGGCATTTTTAGAAGAAATATGGACTTCAAAGAGATCTAAGTTTGTGCAGGGCTGTCTTGGGCTTTCTTTTCTTGGGTTTTTTTTTTTTTTTTTTTTTTGGTTTTTCTCCGGTACCGGGAACCGAACTCACGACCTTGCGCATGCCAGGCAGGCGCTTTTGCCACTGAGCTAAATCCCCAGCCCCTTTTCTTGGGTTTTTGAGACAGGGCCTCCCTATGTAGTCCAGACTGGCCTTGAACTCACTATGCAGCCCAGGTTGGCCTCAAACTCACAGCAATCCTCCTGGTTCAGCCTCTCGAGTGCTGGGATTACCGGCGTGCATCACCACACCTGGCCTGTCTTGGGCTTTCACTGTCCCCAGGAAAACATATCCACTCTCCCCTGCCAGGAGGGAGATGTCCCCAGAAAGGCCTGAAGACAAAGTCACCCAGCTGGGTTCACTCCATGCAGCCTCCCTCTTCCCAAACACTGCTGTGCTCACCGGTCATCGGGAAGTGCGGTGACATGCAGATGCTAACTAGTCAGGCTTGGGGGGCCGCAAGGGTGCATCTCTGACCAGCTCCCCGGGAATGCCCAGGGACCACCTTGAGAAGCAAGGCCCTAGACTGGCCAACCTTCCTCCCCTGGTTCACGATACCATCACCTCCAGTCACATCATGTCTGCACTTGAGTGGGGAAATGCGGGAGACCTGGAGTCCAGGCCTGGCTCCAAGTCATACTACAACCACTTAGTTTAGCTGTCCAATAAGGGGCAGTGCAAGTGCTGAGAGGCAATGGGACATTTAAGTGAGCAATACACGTAGGAGGCGCTTTGGTCACTAGGGCTCTCCCTTCAGGAAGGGATTCATGTGGCTCTCAAGAGACCAAGCTAATTCTCTCAGGAACAAATGGGTTCTCAGTCTCATGAGACTGGACGAGTTGCTATGAAGGGTGGCTGCCCTCCTGTTTTGTCTCTCTTTTGTCTGTGCTTGCTGGCCTTTCTGCTCTCCATGGTGCTTTGGTGTTCCTTGCCAGAAGCTGCTCTATGTCCTGGGACTTCCCAGCCTCCAGAACCATAAGAAACTTCTTTTCTTTATAAATTACCCATTCTCAGGCACTCTGTTATCGGAGCAGAAAACAGGCTAAGACAAGGTTAACTACAGACTGGGTGCAATAACAGTTGAAAGGACTTAGCAAAGCACCCAGCACTTACAAAGTTCTCAGTGGTCATGAGTAACATGGACACTCACAGAATTGCATTAGTCAAATAACACTATCTCAGCCCGTCTCCACAGCCCTCATGCTTAATCCTAACCTGATCTCTTAAACATTCTACTCCCTTTCCCAGAAATCTACCTCTCAGCCCTCCAGCCTCCACTTTAAGATTCTCCAAGGCCCAGTTCAGTCCCAGAATCTCCACGAAGCCTTCCCTTGCCATACTCACCCCCATCCCCCCAGTTCATGCTGAAACCCTGCAATTAGTATTAAATTACATACAATACACTGCAAAACAGTATGTAATTAAGTGCTAAGTTGTTAGCATTTAACTACATATATTGCTCATTAATTATTTCGGGGATTTGGAGACTTGGGAGTGAGCCCTAAACTCTATTTACCTCCTCAGAGCTCAGTTTTCTCATCTGTAAAAAGCGGGTAATGGCTGGGCATGGTGGCGCATGCCTGTAATCCCAGCACTTGGGAGGCTGAAGCAGGAGCAGTGCCATGAGTTTGAGGCCAGCCTGGGCCACATAGTGATTTCAAGGTCAACCTGAACTATACAGCGAGACCCTATCTCAAAAAAAGTGTGTGTGCGTGTGTGAGGGGGGTATTTTAAATATTAAATACTAGGCCTGGTGACATAGACCTATAATCCCAGTACTCTGGCAGGCTGAGGCAACAGGATTGTAAATTTAAGACCAGCCTGCATAATTTAGCAATTTAGCTACCTCATAGGGCTGCTA